TTCCAAAACACAACAACAAGACTTTTTAAACATAAGAGGGGTTCCAATAGAAAAAGTAAAAAAATACAAATATCTTAGTACAATTATTAACGAAAATACAGTATACAGAAAAGATAAAACTGAGAAAAGTATTATGCAGTAGAGACCTTAGTTTGCAACTCAAAATAAGAATATTACGTTCATATGTGTTTTCGGTGCTGCTGTATGGGGTGGAGGCCTGGACCTTAAAGAAAGAGGTGAGAGTTGCAATCTCAAAAGTAAAAGTAGCTGTGATGATTACCAACTTCCTTAGAGGAGACAGTACCTAAAGAAAAATATAAGGAAATTGGAAACGGTTTTAAACTTGGAATGTAAGAAAATTAACTAAATAATAGAAATATGTTAATTGAAATGGGTCAATTTAAATAACCCACAACTTCGGAATGACTTTTTGTTATTTGGGATTCAAATCAATCTAATTTCTATCTAAGTGATATAAATCTTTTTACCAACAAAGATACAAACTCCAGCTGTAAAAAAATCTCCCGAAGGCAGCCAAACGTTTGTTAAAATTTGCCCTGTAGTGCCCAACTCTTTATGGCTCGTAGCAAGTGGCCAGCCGTTGGGATATCCAACCTTCATTGATGTGGTTTCGAGCATGTCTGCTATAAGTAGGAGGACCAATACCGATCCTTAAGTAAAGCCATTGTTCCGTTTCATTTGGATACTAGTCTCATCGTCCATAGTCACTGGAAAACATTTGTTGTATAACATATCATTGATGACATCAGCGATCTGTCTGCATGGAATCGCAGGCATTAATTTATATATTATCTTTTGTTACACATAGTATCATATGGTGCTGATAAATTAATGAAAACAATGGATATTTTAAGTTTTTTGAAAGCTCGTTTCTACATAGTTATTCAGTGCAAGGACTAGGTCTGTGGTGGGTCTTGATGTCTCTTTTTAACTTAAGTTGTGTGTAAGCGGTACTATGTGGGACGCCACTTGGCTTGGTTATACGTGATGGATAGGGTGGTCCTGTAAGTAACTACCTCCTAAAGATTTTAAAATCTATATTTTCAACTATCTCAGTCCTTTTCCCGGGCCTAGCGGTATTAAGGCTGTGAAGGAATTTGTGTTTGCAATTTCCCAGACTATCCAGAAATATACTATCTGCGGATTATTGCCCCGCCTATCTCTCGTCTTTTTGGTTGGATCCAACCTAAGCATTTGTCAAGATTTCTATAGAGAGCAGGCCAATGAGCTGTCATGAAGTTCCATCATTGTCAACATTTGTACCACTACCAAAAAAAAAAAAAACGATTTGCGAAAACGTGCGAAGATTTTCGAACTATTAGCCTTATGAGTCATGCACTTATTTTTCTTAAAATCATACATGCCAGAATTTACAAGAAATGCGAAGAAAATGTCGTGAAATGCAATTTGGATTCCGCAATTCCATGGGTATACGTGAAGCACTTTTCACCTTACAAGTCCTACTTCAGAGATGCTGCGGTGTCATTTGTGATGTCTGTATTTGTTTTCTTGACTACTCCAAGGCATTTGACCGTTGTCAGCACTAGAAGATGGTCGGCGCTCTACAAAGAGTAGGATTGGATGAGAAGACATTCGGATCATCATGAATTTATAGTGGAAGCAGCGAACCAGCTCAAGTCAAGGTAAAAGACCAGCTGACTGTCCAAGTGAAGATCATGCGAGAAGTAAGGCAAGGCTGTGTGCTTTCGCCGACTCTTTTTAATATATACTCTGATGAACTTTTTACTGAAGCCCTCACAAACCTAGAGATCTCATTGGGAATCCCAGTGAACCGTGAATAGATCAATAATATTGCTCCCAATGGGAACACGCTCAAAAGAATAGATCCAGAATTGAAATGGCACGTTCCACATTTATTAAGATAAAACCCTTGCTGTGCTGCAGTGATCTCAGTTTGCGAACCAAGCTGCGGATAGTGAGGTGCTACATTCTTCCAGTGTTACTATATGGTGTTGAAGCCTGGGAACTGACGTAAGTTACTGAAAAGCTACGGATTGAAGCCTTTGAGATGTGGATTTACAGAAGGATACTAAAAATATCATACGTGGACCATGTCACCAACGTTGAGGTCCTACAGCGCATGACAAAAGAAAAAGAACAACGTAAGTTTGAGTACCTCTGCCACGTGATGCGAAACGGAGAAAATATCGAATTCTTTAACATATTATGCAAGGTAAAGTATTTGGCAGGAGAGGACCGGGACGCCGTCGTATCTCGTGGTTGAAAAACCTCCGACAATGGTTTGGAGTGACCTCCGCGGAGCTGCTTCGCAGAGCAGTCAACAAGACCGATAGCCTTGATGATCGCCAACATCCGGAGTGGATAAAGCACTGAAAAAGAAGAAGAAGAAAAAGAAGTTACATCTAGGTGGAATTGATCTTATAACTGGAATGCTAATGCTGGTGTTTATCGAAATATGGCACTGCCGGCTATGAGTGAAATCGGACATGAGCTTTCTGGATGCTGGTAGAGGTTGGTATTTGTCGCCAGTGATAAGCAAACAAAGATCGGGGTTATACTCCCTCTTCCAAGCTACGGATCTGTAAGTGCCTCTATCCTTGGCGTGCAATAGAAGGTGGATGCTCCATTCTTCTCCCACTCTAAAAGGGACGTCATTTTTCTCATTATCTCATGTGAATGGACATCTCATTTTAACTTTTTAACTCTCTTACGTAGGGGTATTCGTAGGAGTTAAGGAGACATGCAGCTCTGGTGAGGGCAGAGGGTTTGTAAATATAGCTATATATATATATTCTCGTGGATATTGTTCTTGGTAGGTAAGAAGTGGATATTAAGGAATTTTCTATATTTCTGCATACATTATGTTGTTGCACCGTAGGTTCTATCATAGGTAGCACCCAGCAGATCATAGTCTGAGCTTTTTTCCTCTTGAACTTAATTGGACTTCGTTTTCTATATGTGTTTCTCGTATTCTGGTCTTGCGACGACGTCAATATTAACGCCAAAAATAAAAAAAAAGAAATAATGGTTGTTCGTTACGGCAGTGATTCAAATAAAGCTACAAATTTTTATCAAGTGCTACCTTGATAAAAGGTAGGAATTTTAAACTTTAGTAGGGACTCCTATATAAAATGCAGCAATATCAATATTTAAATTCGCAGAAGAAATTACGGTTACATGGACTACTAATAGAACAACTCCCACTTACAGTTTTCATATGAAAGAGAATCCCAAAATGACCTGCCGCCGCATCTTGTTATCGTAAATTACAAGCAAGCAAGAAATATAAGTAAACCTAGCTTGTGAGACATGTTCACCCCTAAGAATTACGTTTGGGTGTAACAATTCATTGGAGCGAGGTGTATTAACTCAAATTAAAAACAGGAGTCACACCATCACGCTTTAATGCTCCGGGCCATCCCTTTCCTTCCTATAGTACTCTAATGCACGATAGGGGCATAACTATCAACCAAATGCTTTTTATGTGGAAGTCCTGGGTACAAAAACTCTAATACAATATCCTAACCTGATCAATGCAGGTTAGCGTGACGCGCTCTTTTCCTGCTTTCTCTAGTGACGTATCATTGAACTGAAATTGCTTGCTCGGACCTCGAGTCTCCGTTTCGGGCTGCACCCAGTTCGGCGAGTCGGTGTCCGAGAATGTGTGCCCTGGCTTTGGGGTTTTGTTAATTTTTTTTGGATAGCTGTCGCATTTTTTTAGTATTTTTTGGTTGCCGAAGTCTTTATTTATTTATTTTTATTTTTTTTAAGGTTTTCCTGAAAATAACCATCAATTAATTAAATTTCCAGTGTAGCGTGCTGGGGCTTCTTCTGTTGGTAGAACTATGAATTATCTAGACTTTATGTGTTTGCCAGGATTTGCTACTTTGGTTTTTTCTGCTCCCATCGATGGAACGCATCATATCTTATTATCTCTCGCAGGATCGGTCTTGGATGATTTTCTAATTTTCTAATTACTTGGTGCAATTCTCTAAAGAAAAAGCGTTTAGCGACGTATCTGGGTACATTTGCCGCTTCTCCGGGGATGTTATTGTGGGTTACTTGTATTTTCTTTTTATTTGAATTGCTTATGTTCCCATGCGAGAGATGCATATGCGATTATTGGAAGTATGATACTGTTTATTAGTCTTATCTTCATCGTTATGCGCAGTTTGCTTTTTTTACCTATGAATCCTCTTATTGCTGCTATGCTGTTACTGTTTTTTGGATGGTTGTGTCCACGTATTGCGTGAAGGTTAAGCCTTGGTCCATAGTATTTTGCTTCTCTTTTCCATTCGATAAGAATATCTTGCACTAACAGCTGTTCCCTTGCGGCTTCTCTTTTCTTTTTAAATATGAATGCTTGTGTCTTTTTTTAAATCGATTGCCATTTTCCATTGGATACACCATCCTTCAATGTTATCCATTGTTGTCTATAGATTATTGACCGCTACTTCTAAGTTTCTGTGTTTGGCCGCAATCGCTGTGTCGTCTGCATAAAGGCTGAGTAGTGTTCCTGGTGTTCTTGGAACATCTACGGTGTATATTGTGTACAGTAGGGGTGATAGGACTGCTCCCTGTAGCACTTCAGCCTCCGGAGCTCCATGATTGAATATTACTTGTCCGATTCGTACCCTGAAGCTTCGGTTACTCAAGTACGAAGAGAACAGTCTCTTCATGGCCTCACTGTATCCGTGGCCTTTCATTTCGTATATTAGGCCTTTATTGTATTTTCTTAATATAAGTACGATCAGATAAACAACATCACAAAGACGGTTGCTAAACGCCGAAGTGTTAGATGGAAAACTCTTTTTGGCAATAAACATTCATATTCAGGAAACTCTAAATCAACAAATGGTCAAAAATATTTATAAATAAGCATACCAAGCTGCATTCTCTGCAACTGTTTAAAGTTAATAATATCTTATAATAGCAACTTTGCCAAATTTGTTTTCTCCAGTTTCGGAAAGTTATATTAAATAATAAAACCTACTTACCTCCTCTACTAATTCAAAATTTAAAACGGCAGATGAAAGATGTGTTCCAAATCTATGATCCGTTATAATCATACAAATGCAAATAACACGCATTCCATATAAGATAGTTAGAGCCGGATTGGAATCATCTGCATGTGGCAGTTTTTTCAAATTTCCTTTTATAGAGAACGTAAGAAAAAGTGAAGCAATTGGTGATCCTAAAAAATATGCGATAATCAAATTAGCGTGTACATGTAATTTAGAAAATAACGCACAATTACAAAACAAACTACTTATTTGACGTTCTGGCTTCTAGATGAGAAGTCATCTTCAAAATATAAATTTTATTAAAGGAACCACATTGGTTGTTAAGAAGGTTGCCTTTCAATTGAATTCAGTTCTCCCACGATTCTCCTCTACGCGTTTCATCTTTTAAATTTCATTAGAGAATACTTTGTGAGAGGACTAACTATGCGTATCATCCAGGTGACTATTCACGTAGTGAGAAACCAAATAGACTATCTACTAATCAATGAAAGATACAGAAACAGTATAATGTCAATTAAGACATACCCTGGTGCAGATATATCATCTAATCATAATCCACTAGTTGCAAGAATGAAAATAAAACTAAAGAAAATTAATAGCACAACCCCCAAAAAAGCAGTTGATATCAACAAATTACGAAAACCAGAAATAAGAGAACAGATGATACAAGAAATTGATGAAGCAGTAACAAAGATACAACCCATAAAAAAAACACAAAAGTTAACATCAATGAGAATTGGACAGACATTAAAACAGCGTTAATGAAACCAAGCATAAGTCACCTCCATAAAAGTAAAGAATATAAAAAAGAATGGATGACAGATGAGATACTGAACTTAATGGATGAAAGAAGAAAACAGAAAAACAAAAAGAACCAGAAGTATAAAGAGATACAAAAAGAAATTCGTCTAGAAATACGCACAGCTAAAGAAAACTGGTACGGGGAAAATGCGAAGAAATCGAACAACTACAAAATAAACACGACAGCTTTAATGCACATCGGAAGATCAAAGAGTTGACGAGGAGACAAAGTAACAGACACAACATATTAGTAGACGAGAGTGGAAACATTATTATGGACACAGAAAAAAAATTAAGAGTCTGAAAACAGTACATAGAACAACTGTTTAAAGATCAAAGAGACAATGTAGATAATGAATACATAAACAGTGACACAGGACCAGAAATAACCGAGATGAAGTGGAATACACGATTAAAGAAAAGAGGTCGGGGAAGGCTACAGGCCCAGATGAACTACCAATAGACATAATTAAACTCATCAAAGGCAACAACTTAATAAAGATCGTGGAACTATTTAATAGCATTTACAAATCTGGTATCATACCTAATGAATGGCTAGTAACAACAATAATAGCCATACCCAAAAAGTCTAATGCGAGACAATGCTCGGAAAATCGCACCATCAGTCTCATGTGTCATATATTAAAGGTCTTCTTAAAAATCATTCATCGGAGAATATATAAAAAATTGGAAGTTGACATCGGACCCTCTCAATTTGGCTTTATAGACGGACTAGGAACTAGAGAGGCACTGTTTGCTTTTAATGTTCTAACACAACGATGTTTAGACGTAAATCAGGACATATTTGTGTGTTTCCTAGACTATAACAAAGCATTTGATAGAGTAAAACATAGGCCACTGATGCAAATACTGGAAAATAAAAATATTCATACAAGGGACATGCGAGTGATAAGGAATCTATACTACAAACAAGAAGCTACAGTACGAATTAACAGCTCGATATCAGATAGAATACAGATCAAAAGAGGTGTTCGGCAGGGCTGTGTGTTGTCTCCAACCTTGTTCAATGTCTACGCGGAAGAAGTTATTAAAAAAGCTCTTATGAACGAAAAAGCCGGAGTAAAGATCAACGGTCACACCCATTTGCAATATCCGATATGCTGATGATACCGCGCTCATAGCAGAAAATATTGACGACCTACAGAGATGACTAAACAAAGTGGTAGAAGCAAGTGAAGAATTTGGTCTGTCACTGAATACAAAGAAGACCAAATTCATAATAATTACAAAGAAACGTATCAATAATATCAACTTACATGTAGGACAGAATCTCATTGAACGAGTACAAAATTACAATTACCTCGGAACAAATGTTAACGAGTCAAACGAATACACCAGAGAAATAAGAATAAGAATAGAGAAAGCCCGCAGTGCCTTTAACAACATGAAACAAATGTGGTGTAGCCGAAACCTAAGCCTAAAGCTGAAAATACGAATGCTTAAATGTTATGTTTTCTCAGTCCTGTTATATGGGGTGGAGGCGTGGACACTAAATAAGCAATGTATGGGTAAGCTGGAGGCATTTGAGATGTGGGCGTACCGAAGAATGTTAAAAATCTCCTGGAAGGATAAGATAACTAACCAAGTTGTATTAGACAGGATGAACAAACAAAAGGAGGTCGTATTGAGTGTTAAAATGAGGAAACTACAATACCTGGGACATATTACACGTGAGAATAAATATCAACTGTTACAACTAATTATGCAAGGAAAAATTGAAGGTAGGCGCAGCATAGGTAGGAGAAGAATTTCATGGTTGAGAAACCTCAGGGAGTGGTTTGCTTGCACTTCCATACAATTGTTCCGAGCGGCAGCCTCCAGGGTCAAAATTGCCATGATGATAGCCAACCTTCGTAGCGGAGATGGCACGTGAAGAAGAAGAACTAGTAGTATTGGTGTATTAAAGTAATTTAATATTGTTACGGGGGTAATAACTAGTGTTAGGACAGGTATGGGAAAGACTGATACATTTCATGTGAAAGTAGGCATGGTGCTTAGTCAAATGTGAAGTATAGTGAATAGTATTGTGAAAATGTGAAGAGTCATAGTTTTAAGTACCTAGTATCGGTGTTACAGAGTAATGGGGGAATAGATAGAGATGCATGCAGTAGAATTAGGGTTGGATGGATGAAGTGGAACGAAGTGAGTGGTGTGTTGAGTGATAGAAAGATTCCAATAAAGCTGAAGGAAAAATTATATAAAACAGCCATAAGAACAGCTTTATGGTACGTCAAAAATTAATTACTCGGAAGTTGAAGTATTAACTGAAAAAAATCTAATCAAAGAATGTATTAAGTAACAAAACCTAATCAAAAAGACAAAATGAATACAAAGAGCAAGGTAAGAACCCACAAAACGTCAATCCAGGGCTAAAACTATAATGATGGGAACGACTAACATCTATTGAGACAGTAACTGTTGGTGATAAAATAAACAGGGCTAAACATAAGATATTAAAAAGGGCTTAGCCTTATTAAAAGTACGAGAAGAATAGGAAATTAGAACATTTCATTTAGGATGTGGCATTTAGGATAAAAATGGCTTTGTTCTTGAACAAGAACAAAGCCACTATTCCGTGCGGCAGTAGAAGAAGATATGATTACAATTAGTTCTCTATATTGTTAGAATATGAATTGCAGAGGAAGGAAAAACTATGATTTATTGATTATATTCAATTTAAATAAGTTCAATAAATTTAATTGAATTATGAATGTTAGGGACTATGGTCTTACACTCGCAATCGGTCCACATCATCAGAGCCTCAAGAAACTAAAGGATATGAGTACAAGGAATTATCTAAGTGTGTCATAAGTTGGTTGACACACACACATATATATATATATATATATATATATATATATATATATATATATAAATATATATATATATATATATATATATTAAAAAAAAATACGTTTGATAATTTAAAATAAGCATCGTAATATTTAAAAAGTTAACCATAAAATTTTTCTTTAACGATTAAAATTTAACGAATATTTTATAAAATATGAGATATACGAACTAAAACAATGTTCTTCTTCTTCTTCTGGTTCCTATCCGTTTCGGATGTTGGAAATCATATTAGCAATCATAACCTTGCTCGCTGCGGCTCGAAACAGCTCCGTTGAGGTTTTCTTAAACCATGTTCCTAAATTCCGCAGCCATAATATTCTCCTTCTACCGGGTCCTCGCTTATCTTTGACTTTACCTTGCAATATAGACTGTAGCAGTGAGTAACGGTGCTGATTTCTTATAACATGTCCCAGATATTGCAATTTATTAAATATATCCAATCGTAAACACAATCTCTGGTTCCTTCTTAATTTTTCCTAGAACTTCCTTGTTCTTGATCCTTGCTGTCCATGATATTCTCAGTATTCTTCTATAAAGCCACATCTGAAATGCTTCAAGTTTTTTAATAGTGGTGTCTGTAAGCGTCCATGCCTCCGCCCCGTACAGCAACACAGAGAAAACATAGCATCTCAAATGTCTCATTTTTGTATCAAGGGATATGTTGTGACTTTTGAAGATGGCGCTCATTTTGTTAAAGACCGTTCTTGCCTTTTCTATGCGGCACTTTATTTCCTGAAAATTGCTCCACTGTTCGTTAATAATAGTTCCCAGGTAATAATACTGTTTTACTCGCTCTATCTGCGTCCCATTAATGTATAGATGAGCCCCGTTTATATTCTCCTTGCTGATAATCATTTGTTTCGTCTTGTGGGTATTAATGTTTAGTCCGTACTGTTGACTGTACTCGTTTATTCTGTCCATTAGCCTCTGAAGTCCTTCTAAACTATCTGCTATCACCATGGTGTCGTCGGCATATCTAACATTGTTTACTCTTTCACCATTTAGAAGGATGCCTTCGTCTATTCCGTAAAGAGCCTCGTTAAAAATTTTCTCTGAGTACATATTAAATATCAACGGCGATAGGATACATCCCTGTCTAACTCCACGTAGTATTTTTATGTGATCTGTTTTTTCTCCGTTAATTTTCATGCATGCGGTCTGATTCCAGTAGAGTTCTGAAATTATTCTGAGGTCTTTGTCATCCAGGTCTGCCTCTTTTAAAATGTTTATCATCTTTTGATGTTGAACTCTGGCAAATGCCTTTATATAGTCGATCAAGCACGCGTATACGTCGCAGTTAACGTCCCTGCATCTTTGAATCAGTAGCTGTACTCCGAAAAGTGCCTCTGTGGTACTCACTGCGTTAATGAAGCCGAACTGTCTGTCCGATATTTGTTCCTTGCACTTCTTATAAATTCTTCCATGGATGACTCTAAGAAACAGTTTCAACATGTGGCTTATTAGGCTGATTGTTCGATATTCTTCGCACTTTTTAGCCCCCTGTTTTTTAGGTATCGCTATGAATTCTGATTCTAGCCATTTATCAGGGATGATTTCTGTATTGTATATTTTATTGAAGACAGCCGTGATCCAAATTATTCCTTCTTCCTCCAAGAGTTTTAAAAATTCAGGTTCGATATTATCAGGCTATACAGCTTTCCTGCTTTTCATCCGTTTTATTGATTCTTCTACATCAGATTTAAGTATGTCCGGGCCCGTCATCCTCTCTGAAAATGGATGCCTATAATCCGTTCTTTGATCTTGAAAAAGTGTCTCCAAATATATTCTCCATTTGTCTTTCATCTCTTGGGTGTCAATGATTAATTTTCCATTGGTGTCTATAAGTTTCATTTGTGTTCACTTTTTAAAAGTACCCGTTATTTCTTTTACCTTTTTGTGTACATTAAAATTGTCATGCTTGACTTGTAGTCTTTCTATTTTTTTACAATTCCCTACAGCTTCTTTTTCTTTAGCTTCTCTTATTTTTCTTCTGATGTAAGCCTGCATTTTTTTATACTCATCTTTATTTCCTTTAATTAATCTTCTGCGTTCCATTAAGTGAAGGATTTCTGGAGTCATCCAAGATTTATTCTTTGTTTCTTTGTTTGGTTTTAGCAGATCTTGTTTAGTTTTCTTAATTATTTCTTCGAATTGATTGATTTCTCGTTGGATGTTATTTTCTTCTTTTAGTTGTTTAATTTGGTTGTTAATATATTCCCCCACTTGCTTTTTAACTTCCGGATGTTGCAAGGCTGTCATGTTGTAGTTAGGTCTAGACTTTTTCTTTATTGTCTTTAGTCTCACATCCATGACTCCCACTAAAGGTATGTGGTCAGATTCAATGTCCGCTCCTGGATATGTTTTGACAGATTTAAAACTGTTTTTGAATCTTCTATTTACCAATACATAATCTATATATAATCTGTATAGATTTATTACAAATATTAGGTATTTATTAAAAATATAGATTTTAAATAACAAAATAGTACTTACTGGCTACTAGTTTTTCGTTTGAATAGTTTCGGAAGCAGTCGTATAACGTCGATGATATTACCAAAGAAACAATTATTGCACACACTAACCTAAAAATAAATTTGTTAGTAATACATTTTGTGAGCTGTTTAAAAATCATTATTAGTGCATGGAGCAATAATGAAGCATTATTGCTCCGAATTTTTTTACTGTCAACCAAATTGCATACAATTATGGAATTAGGTTCATCTTACCCTTACCTTCAAAAGTGAAAATAATTTGAACTCCGCAACCACCATGGGGGTGGTTGCCACCCCTTCTCGGGGGTGATTTTTTTAAAAATAACCTCGGATGTCGATAGAAGGCCTAATTTTAAGCAAAAAATCATCTATAAACTTTTTCGAAAAATCCAATACTTTTCAAGTTATTATATATATATATATATATAATATATATATATATATATATATATATATATATATATACACATATATATATATATATATACATATATATTAATATATATAAATATATATATATATATATATATATATATATTAATATATATATATATATATAAATATATATATATATATATATATATATATATATATTAATATAAAATTTTATAAAAATCAAAATTGTAGCAGATAAAAAATGAACAATTTTGTTTTTAGTTTAGTTTTAGGCATTAGTTACAATCTAGTTTTAGGCATTCTAATAAAAAAGGATTTTGTAGTGCTTGAAATAAGCTTTAAAACAAGCACTATTAAAGTCTTTTGCAAGGAAAATAAGTAAACTGTATGGCAAATAAGAGGAGCATCTAATGTGTTTTCTTTTAATTCAATGGGTTTCATAAGTTGCGGATTTTCAATTGCCAATAACTTGAAGTGTATTGGATTTTTCTAAAAATTTTATAAATTTTTTTTTTTTTGCCTAAAATTAGGCCTCCTATCAATATTAGAGATTATTTAAAAAAAACTTCACCCCCGAGAAGGGTGGTTGCGTAGTTCAAATCATTTTCACTTTTGAAGTTAAGGGTAAAATGAGCCTTATTCCAAAATTTTATGCAAATCGGTTCACACTAAAAAATTCGGAAGTAAGATCGTATTTTTCGCTTTAATGACTGCACTATACCTATATTAAAAAAAACTTTAAATGAAGTAAAAACTTCTAATGTACAATGGTTTATATATATATATATATATATATTATATATATATATATATATATATATATATATATATATATATATATAAGGCTAGGACGGCAAGTCACACTGTTTGTCCAGTAGGGTAACTACGTCACCTAGGAAAGAAATCTGAACTACCAACTGACATTTCAATCATATTTTGTTCTTAAAACGATACGGTTGATTTATTGTTAATTCATTCTACAAATTGATATTCCAAATATCCTTACTCGCAAATTTTAGTACTTCATCAGTATAAAATAAAGTGTAAAATAAAATAAAATAAAATACAATTAAAAAAAATAAGTAAAATTATATAGAATTAAATAATATAATAAGTAAAAGAAAATAAAAGTAAATAAAATTAAATAAAGCTGAATAGAGTTAAAAAAATTTATTAAAATTAAATAAAATTAAACAAAATAAAATAAAATTAAATGTAATGATAATAAAAATAAAGTTATTGAACATAAATACAAGATAATACTGAAAATGTAAATGATGAATACATTCTATATAATATTTTACAAATTTTAAAAATTAATAAAATCAATAAACAAAATTTTTAAAGAAAAATAAGATTTTTTAAATTAATTCCACTAACCTAAAAATAAATTTTGTGAGTAATACATTTTGTGAGGTGCTTAAAAATAATTATATATTAAAAAAACTTAAATGAAATAAAAACTTCTGATGTAAAATGGTTACACTAGTTACTTATCTCAAAAAGTTTAACAAACGTTAAAGTAATACCAAAATACAATAAAATAAAATAAAAAAATAAATAAAATTAATTAAAATTAATTATGAATTAAAATATATGTATTAAAAAAATTCAGAACGTTCCGGCCTTACCTGACCATCACCTTAATATTAATTAAAACTACCCACATAGTAAGGTTAAATAAACGTTAGATTACTTAATATTGAGAATATTAAATTTTAAAAGAGTTGTGACACGAGATCGACATTAGAGGATTTCACATTAAGAGAACGTACAGATCCCTGCTCGAAATAAGGAAATTAGTCTTACGGCATCTATCAGGCAACTAGTGTATTAAAGTAGAACGAAAGAAGCCACATACGGATCAAAGAGATCCCTTCTATAACCACCATACTCAAAACGACACAAAAGTGTCGGAAATGCGGCAAAGCACTGAAACGCGCCGAATAAACTCATGAAAAGCGTTAAAGTTATTTCAACACTTTTTGCCCCTTAAATGGCTGCTGGACATAAATTACCTTACTCGACTCTACTCGACAAAGTACAGACATGATCTGCACATACGAACACCTTATTTTAGCTAATAAATGGACGATCAATGTGGCCAACCATTGGAAATATAAGACTTCATGTTGTTGGTGTCCCGGATACGGTAAAGCAAACTGAGAAAAATATTCCTCTCTTAAATTTTATTTAGTAATTTTACTGGTTTAATTTTGTACTTACCCAAAGGAAACGTCCATTTGATCAAGATCATTATTTTCATCCTCTCTTTGGCAATTCTTGTCTTCGATAAATGAAGAATATGATACATTGTGATTCCTGAGTGGGAAATCAATTGTATTGAAGTAGCCATTTAAATATGTTTTGAGATCATATGGTGTACAAGAGGAAGGCATACACCATCCCATTAAAACTACATTTTTTGCTTGCTGTGATGGATCTTTATGGTCCTATAACAAAAAAGAAACGGCTAAGTTACGGATACCAACCTTAAAATATATTTATTTAAATTAGTTTTATGTGGACTATCAGAAAATATTACTTGAGCGTGATGCATTATCCATAACATGATACTTAAATGAAATGCTTTATTTAAAATTTGAAGGAATAAAAACAGGTCACAACTATACTAACATATACACTGCTATCTTAATTCTTATCTTGATTTTATTTAAGTTAGTGTTGGTGTTTAAGTTTAAATTTTCAAAAAATGGATTTTTTATTTTTTTTTGCGTAAAAAATATTCTTAGTATCATAGAAATACTGTCCTTAAATTTTATTAAGAATTTCGAAATAGAAACGAAGTTATATCTGTATTTCTAACGGTGCGCATCTGAGTACACTATGGTCCGCTTCACTGTGTACGTGCAACTAGATTTATGTATATATACCCTTTTTCAAACTAAAACACTTGCACGTAACGATTTATACAAAGTGACGTCACTTGTATTTAAAATTTCCAGAACAGCAACCTTAAAGTTCAAATTTTCCTAACACAGCTAATAATACAAAACCCATACGCAACTGCTCGATATTTCATAGGCGTCAACATGGTGTAATAATCAAAAAAATGTAATCATTATTATATTGGTTATTTTAGAATTATATTGATTAAATAACCAAAAAGATTTGTTATTGTTAATAATATAAATATTATGAAATAACTCTTTAAGTCTAATATTCCACAAAATAATAATTTTAATTAAATATATTAGACAATTGTACGCAACTGATACGGAAATACTTCAAATTATATTGACAGTTAAGCGTGTGGCAAAGGTGTATAAAGTGTTGCCGCTTTTTTAGAGTAGAAATTTTGTTTATGTTTTGGTTTCTTACACAATTTGATCATAATATAATATATATTAATAAATTGTATATATATATATATATATATATATATATATATATATATATATATATATTGAAATGATTTCAATATGTTAAAATATATACAACTTTAATGGATTTTTATATGAGTTTGTTGTTTATGAATTTCATGAAGCCATCACAATGTGGGTTCGACTCTGAAATAAAAGAGAGAAAAAGATTAGTAAATTGTTAAATAAATTAATTTTGACTTACCTGGTATAGTGTTAATAATTTCTGAATAGTATAGTTGCCTAGTGTATAGGTGAATCGTCTAAACCTTAAAAAGAACAAAAAAAGAAGAATTTTAAAAAAATATTTAAACATAGAAATTTTAATAAACGTCAGAAAATAAACTGCTTGACAGTTTATTTGACAGTCTGTGGGAGCTAAATTAATAGGGGTTTTGTTAAATAAGAAATTACAATGATGTGGAGATGAAAAGAATAAATTAGTATTGTAATAGAATAAGTTTTATATCTAAACATTTTTTTTGTAAATTCCCAAATTATATGTGATTAAAGTGATTATGAGAAAGTAATGTGGCTTGACAAATATGTCAAACAGGAGAGTTTTATGGTTTAAAATATTTAAATAGAAGACAGAAAAAAAAGAACGTTGGTTGCTGTTAGCAACGAATAATAATGGGAATTGGTTTTTTGGAGAGGACGCCGACGAGGTTTTTTTGGACGAAGGAGAGCCCTGAAACTGTGGAATAGGTCGGGAGTGTTTTTTAACTCGTCTAATTAGAATTTAGTTTTTCCACAGTTTCCACAGCAGAGATATCCAGAAATTTGTTCCACAGAGTAAGAGAAACAATTTCACTTATAAATTATATTGGAGTATAGAAATGTCATTTAAATTGAGAAAATTAAAATTCATGAATTAACATAATTGCGATAGGCCTTAAAAATTGAAATTATTAATGATCATTAAATTAAAAATAGAATAGTACGTACCTTAACTTCCGAAGAGAGGATTGATATTCCAGTTTCACCGATTATTTTTGAGTAGTTAGTTTCCTTTAAAGAAATCAGAACTGTTTTAAAGTGAGGTTGGACAATAATTTTGGGGATCATTTGAAATTTTGATTATATTTGAATAGTCAGCGGAATAAAGTGTTCATTTTCTTTTTCTTTATAGTTCATTTAAACACTTTATAAAGTTGCAATATTTATTTAGTTTTTAGGTACTTGTGGAGAGTCTCCACATTTTGTAATACATTTTATTGTCACGTCACTAAACCACGCTAAGACTTAAACGATTCCTATTTTTGTAAATTTTTAAAGGCAACCGAAGTTGCAGACGAATTTTATTGTCTATATTAAATTTTTTCAATATTAATAAATAACGTGCTTCATTTGGGTTAATTTATCAAAGGTCTAAAGTAAATTTTGGTTTAATTTCTTTTTGAACTCTACCAGGAGACTACAGAGTCGACGTCACACAGTGACAGATTGCTTAGAACATATAATTGAGCTAGCTGAGGTATATATTAAATTAAACAACGAACCACATATTTAAAATAACATTTTTTCACATAAAAATTACATTTATTATCAAAAAAAATTTAATTAATAAAACACAACTTTATCAATATATATATATATATATATATATATATATAATATATATATATATATAATATATATATATAATATATATAATATATAGACAGCAAAACAGTCTTTCATGTGTTTGTGTGAAGTGTAAAAGTACTCTTCTTTGAATAACCCAGTTAATGTCGAAATGTCATCGACATCAATCATTAAATGTAAATCGAAGGTAAAATATTGACTAGACCAATACAGCCGTAGATAAACAAAAATGACCCCAATTTACTGGCCGTTGCTTAAGTTTTTGTAAGATTGTGTCGTGTGTACTTTTTAAAATATCTAATAAGTAGATGATAATAGTAAAGACAAGGCCGCTAAAAGAATCTTAAATGTGGCATCATTTAACCAAAGCACAAATCGAAATCCGTTGCAGGTCCTCAATGGCATTTCTGTATACAATCAATTTCAACAGAAATTTTATCTAAATAACTTTATAATTATTTTATTTATTTTGTGTTATACAGAACTTAGTTTCAATATTAAGTTAGAACATTAAACATAATTTAAAAATATTATTTAAATTAAGTCATGATTTACCAGTTGCTACCAAAATCTCTCTCATTAGATGCTATGTATTTTCTACCTTATTATACGGAGTAGAGGCCTGGACACTTTATGAAGCTTCCTTAAGAAAACTCGAGGCATTCGAGGTGTGGTGTTACAGACGTATCTTAAGAATTTAATGGGTGGATCGTGTGACTAATGTTAAGGTCCTACGTAGAATAGGCAAGGAATGCGAGAATATTAACACCATCAAAGAACGCAAACTAGAATATCTTGGCCATGTTATGAGGAATGAACAGAGATATGGCTTGTTCCAACTCATTCTTCAGGGCAAGGTATTTGGAAAGAGAGGACCAGGGAGAAGAAGAATATCTTGGCTTCAAAACCTGAGAAAGTGGTTTAATACATCGACAACCGGACTATTCAGAATAGCAGCAAGCAAAGTTAGGATAGCCGTGTTGATCGCCAACATCCGGAACGGATAGGCACCATAAGAAGAAGAAGAATTTAAATTAATCTTTAATTTGTATATTGTTCTGAAGCTATTTTCTTGTGGCATTGTAAATTAATTACTATTTCACTGGGAATAAGTCACTCAGAGACTCAGGTGTATAGAAAACCAACACACACCAATAGATATTTAAATTTCAAATCAAATCACAATATTAATGTAAAAAAGGGAATAATTTAATCCTTATACGATAGAGCCAAAATTACTTGTTCTAACGAAAATTCGTTCTTGGAGGAGAAACATTTGTTAATATCTGTTTTATTAAAAAATGATTATCCTTTATCGTTTATAAATAAGTAATTTTCAACAATCAATCGAATAGAACAGAACAACTTAGAACGAGATCCTACAGCATACACAAGGAATAATATGAGGAAAATAACAATACCGTACATAAAAGGATTATCAGAAAAAACTTAAAAGGATAGGAAATAAATTCAACAATTTAACAACATTCAAAACAACAAACACGTTGAGATCTATTTTGTCCAAAACCAAACCTAACGATGAACAAGAAAGGACAAAGAATTGCATTTATAAATTACCTTGTGAATGCGATCAGTTTTATTTAGGTGAATCATCAAGGCCATTAAATGTTAGAATAAGTGAACATCAATCTTATATTAAAAATAGAGAATTTGATAGATATCAAATATGTAAACACGCATGGGATAATGAACAAAGGGTTCAATGGAATAATTCAAATGTAGTCCTAAAAGAAACGGATGGTAAAAAAAGAAAAATCAAAGAAGCGGCTCTAATTATGCTAAATGAGGCCAATTGTGTCGCAAATTCCTCGGCAGAATGTAGTAGGATCTGGTTACCAATATTGAAAGAGGAAGTTATTAATAAGAAAATACCAGTATTAGTAAGTCACTAACATATAGAGGATACATCATTTATGTTTTTTAAATAACGTAACATATAAAATAAGAAACTTTGATGTTTGTTGAAGGTAAACTAAATTCACGAACAAATACTTACAATGTCGGGATAGTATTATGAGGTTTTTTTCCTGGGTTTTCCCTCATAATTTACTATGGAATCACTAACAGAAGAATTTTACTGTCATCATGTCATGTGTTTGTCTTTTTAAAGACGAATTACATGCTATGATTTTTTCTGACGGATATTCTCAAGTTAAAGTTGATTTCATGTAATCGAATGAACTATCTTATAAGTAAAGTCGTCCCAGGAGCGCAACTCAACAATATTAGCAATATCATGTTAAAGTCGTCTACTTTAAAATGTATAATGTATGTCTGAATTGTCAATATAAATGAGTCAGATAAAATTAAATTATTAGAAGAATTTTTCACTATGTAACAAAAAACAAAATTTGTTTAATTTACTGTTTGTATTTTGAGAACGATTTCCGAAGTGGAAATTGAAACGTCAATAAACGTATTTTTGTCTTTAATTGTGGCTTATTCCCAGTTAAATAGTAATTAATTTAATTTGTATGTTGCAAAAAATAGATAGGCACTCTAGAAAGTTTGGTGTAATTAATATAATAAAATGCCAAAAATATCGGTCAAAGAGTCAACAGTTGGTATA